GCCCGTGTGCTCAGATTTGGGTGCACGGTAAAGAACCCCAGGTGGTCAAAATTTTCGGAGCCCTCCACTACGGCGTCTTTCATAATCATATCGTGGTTTTGGGACGTTAAACCCCACAAATCAATCAATCAATCAGGTCACTGACAAGATGTTCACAGGGCATTCCATCGGCATCCGCACTGGTGGCGACGAAATCCCTCCACCAGCGCACACCTTGTGTACTGTGAGACAGTGGAGGTCACAGCCTGGCAAATTGCACGGCCGACTTTTCCACCGATGAGAAACAGGCCAGGTTGCTTAACATTAGGTGCTGTTACAAGTGTGGAGTGCGCAATCATGTCGCACAGTTTTGCAGAGTCTCCCAGAAACTTCGTGCAACAAGTGCCTACGCAGACACCTAACGGTTCTTTGTGAGCTGTCACGAGCCGTCACCACGATCACTGCTCCTACACCAACATCACCAATTGGCTAGTCCGGCTCTACATCACCGACGGTAACTACGACGCCAACCGGCACTGCAGAAGCCAAGTCGGTGCTGTCTGAGGCAGCCCGTGTTTTGGCGGAGAACGCACCGCGACAGCTCCTGGTGCGCGTGATCCATGAAAGCTGCAGCAGCGTTCATTCATTCACACTGACGTTGCCAAGAGGTTGCCGTGTGAAGTCATTGGCACGGAAGAGCTGTCAATGGTAACGTTTAGAAATGCCAATCCACGGAATCTTTTAGGTTGTCGATGCGTCTCTTACGTTGCATGGTCGATTTAATGGCAGCACCGTCTCATTCAAAGCACTGCAAGTCCCCGAACTATGCCCCTGGACAAGTCCACCACTGAACAGTGAAGTGCTCGAGTTGTTGAGCGCCCGGGGGTATGATGCTGCAGACATACTTAACCCGGAAACTTGGCACCCAGAGGACGTCAGTATATTAATTGGCTCGGACGCTTATTTGAAAGTAAACATTGGCAAAAATGATCGCCCCAACAATCAACTCACGACCGTGGGAACGTCGTTCGGGTGGACTGTGCTGGACATTAGCTCACGCTACGAAGCTACAGCAACTAGTGAACTTTTCTTTTTGCTTCAGAGTTCTCCTAAGGCGTGCGATGAATCGGCTATGCGGCACCTCGACACTATTGTTACTGGGAACCGGTGGTAAAGTACTGTAAAACACCACCCAGACCTCGACAGATTTGAGCAGTGTCTGAGCAAGCAAGCTGGTCGTTACCAAGTGCCGCTGATGATACATGAGCCTTGTATACCTGGCAGTAGTGACAACAGAGAGCTTACAGCACGTCCATTAAACCTGCAGCTGAATCGACTCTGGGAACAACCCGACCTGCTGAAACAGTTGAACGAAGCCATTATTGCTTATTTAAAAGATGGTCCTGCCGACAGAGTTGATGAACAGCAGATTGCAGGCCCTATTATATATTAAATGCCGCATCCGGCTGTAATCCGCTGAGATGCCTGGACCACCAAGCTCCGTATTGTCTTTGACGGGTCGTCTCATGCCGTCAGAAAACCATGGCTGAAAGAAGTTTTGTCAAAATGAGAGAAGCTTTATGTTGACATCGTGCAGCTATTTCTGTCCTTTCGTTGCTACCCAGTGATTCTTGCGGCAGATATCAAGAAAGCCTTTTTGCAAATTTGCAAATTGTCATTCAATTAGAATACCGCGATTTACTTCGTGTCCTATGGGTTCAGCAACTGCCAATCAAGGAAGGTCTTAGCCCACGCATTGTCACATGGCGGATGACTAGGGTTTCTTTCGGAGCCGCATAAAGTCCTTTTCTGCTTGCCGCCACGCTATGTTATCACTTTGTGTCGTGTCGGGAAAAATTTCCCGTGACGGTGGCTCTCCTGGAGAGGGCATTTTACTTGGATGACCTTATTCTTAGTGTGTCTACAGCTGAACAAGCCATGACTGTGTACAAGGAAACACGCACTATTTTCGCTGAAGCATGCATGGAGTTACGCAAACGGGCATCAAACTCCGACCTGATCAAGTAGTAGTTTCTCCAAGATAACGTGGCTATTGAGACTGAAGCCTGAGATGACCATCTCATGAAGGTTTCCGGCATGCAATAGAAACGTAAAGGTGATACCAGCGCATCGACAGTGCGCAACACAGACTCCTTTGCCTCAGACTGGCCACCAAGCGCACGATCCTTCAAACAGTGGCCAGAGTTTATGATCCACTCGTTTATCTTTACCCATTCGCCGTGAGAGGGAAGCTGATTTTCCAAGACTTGTGGAAGCGTAAGTACGCTTGGAATGACACGCTGCCAGATGAAGTACAAGCTGCGTGGAACGCGTGGTGCGCCCAGTAGCCAGATGTTCAGGCAAAGATACATCGCTGCGTGTTTCTGCACGGCAGCAGCGTAGAACTGGCATTTGAACTGCATATATTTACTTATGCCAGTCATAAGGCTGATGGTGCGTGTATCTACGTTCGGTTGCTTTCTGCCGACGGGGCATGCGTCACATGATTGCTCATAAGCCAAGTCACGTCACTCCACTCAAAACAATGTCCCTGCCTCGACTGGAGCTGGTGGCCTACATTAGTGGAGCACGGCTAGCTGACTACGTATAGTACGTTCCACCTCTCCAGAAGGCATCCGCTCATTTTTGGACGGACTCCCTCGTTGCCCTTCACTGCATCCGAGCAAAAACAAGGAATCAATATCTTTTTTAAGAAATCGTGTGGCCGAGATATGCAAGCCTACCAAGCCCTACAATGGGTGCATTTCAGCAGCAGCGAGAATCCCGCCGATCTACTCACCCACGGTGTGTCGGCAAAGAAGTTTTTGGAGTCAGATAAATGGTGACGTGGTTCAACTTGGCTCTCCATGCCAGAAGTGATTCCTAGTTTTAAGCTTGTTGACCTTCCGAACGACAGAGACATTGAGCCTCTCTTTGAGACAGCCACGACGATATGTCCATCAATTGTTTCGTACAGGACTTGAATTGTGCGTGCAGAATATTTCAGCTCACTGAATAAGCTTTTTCGCGTTACTGCTTTCTTACACTGATTCGTCCACAACGCTTCGAGAAGAAGATCTCCCCGCTGTAGAATGCTCACGACTGTGGAAGTTGAAGAGGCCGAGCGTTATTGGCTTTTATTAGTGCAAGACCAGTAATTCGGAGCCAAAATACGATTTTTGAGAAAGGCAAAAGGCTGTCATTAACGTCATCTGTCCTTCACCTAGCACCATTGTGGGTGTTGAATGGAAGGAAGACTGCAAACAAATGTGTTTTAGTGCTCAGTGTTGTGGTACCGGAAACGACGACTCTAGGCAGCGTCTGCTCCAAATGCACCACTGCCAACAGATACAATAACGGAAGCTCAAGCAGTTTCGGTTGTTGGCATCGATTAACATGGACCACTTTACGTTTGCACGACTCAAAACTCAAGCAAGTCATACATAATGATATTTTAATGGGCCCTGACACGAGCTATTCATCTCAACCTTACATCCGACATGACAACAGCAACCATGGTTGTCGCTTTTCGTCGGTTTGTTGCGTGGCGAGGTACAGCTGTGGCATAATCAGGCAACACCCTAAAGTCTCGTTCTTGTGCACGGAGCTTCAAAGCGGTCATCCCTGCGTTGTTAGAGTACGCCGCCACTTCGCGAATACAGTGGAAATTTATGTGGAATGAGATCCTTGGTGGAGAGGGTGGTGGGAGCGCAGTATCAGAACTACGAAACACACTTTGAAGTGCACCCTCGGACGTACCAGCCTTGAGGAATCACGCTTCGCGACAACATTACGCGAAGTTGAAGCCGTCAATAATAGCAGACCCCTGAACTTCCTGGACAATGACGCCAATGAATTGCAGCCTTTAACTCTGACGCACTTTCTGCTCGGAATGTGAGTCATCGCGGTGCTGGAGTCGGGTGTCACAGCTCAGACATCAACTTACGCTGAGCTACAATGACGATTACAGTACCAGAAGTGGATAAGCATGAAGCTTTGGTGAAAATGAAAAAGTGCTCACTTACTACAGCTGCGATCAGCGCAATGCGGCCAAGAACAAGGTTCCTCACCGATTTGCATATGCGACGTTGTGTTAGTGAACAAAAACAACACTTCTCCGACGTCCTGGAAACTCGGACGAGTGACGTCGCTGCATTGCGGACGAGATGGGGTAGTGAAGCATGCTCCTTTCGTTTGGCTGCAGGCCACGTGGTGAACCAGCCGGTGCAAAATATCTGTGTGTAAATAAAGCCACAAAATGGCTGACAGAGCTTTCGTTCTCTCCCCCTCGGAGGATGTTGAAAATAGACTAGCGAGTAGTAGTCTTGGTGGTAGGTACAGGGACGAGAGGAAGAGAACAACGAGTTGGAATTCGGAGCTAACCCTTGATTCAGTAAAGTCGTTCAGCTCTACGCTCACGGGTCCTTGTTTTTAACAGTGCGTACACAAAAACTTTTATGGCGAGATGCTCGGTGTGCTACAGAAATCTGAAAGATTGGTGCCATATGCCTCAAGCAGGGGCTGAAACAATTGCTCTTAGCTCACGAATGACGCAAAATAACAAAATAAATCTTTGTGCTTGATATGCCACAACGTAGACAGAGTTTGAAAATATCAAAAGCAAGAAAAATGTAATTTGTTTCAAGTATTACGTTTTTGAATATGGTGACCCACCTTAAAGGGCCTCTCCCGCACAGTTGCAATGAGCGCGTGCTTACGAACGTTATGAGGAGTGATGGTGTGATGTTGAAAACTTGAGATACGAGGCATATGTCGACAACTTTAGCACCTAACCACGTAAATAGGCGGCGAATAAAGTGTTCGACAATATACATCAATGTGGGTGCACCACGTCAAGCAGTGCAGTGCTGTGAAAGACAAGCGCTCCTAATTACTTTGTACAATTTCTCATTTATCTATTCTCAGTAAACACTTAACAACCTTTGTTAAGACACGCTTCACTTATGTGCATATCTAATCCTACAACGCAGGCTGAGGCATATTCTTTATTTTCTTCTCAGATACTAAGCTACAAGCTGCTCATCGTAAGCCGTGGAGTATATAATCACCCAGGCTATCCGCAGTGTGTATGCTCCCGCCTAAAGTCGGTGGGACAGCTGAAATACAATCACAACTTGACATACTTGGACACGGATGAAAAGGTAAGGACCCTTACATTATGAAGCACAGCGAAACCTATTGAACATTGTTTTCAATGATGCAAGTAGAAGCTCAGATTACCAGGCAGCGCTCTCTAATAAACACGAATACGATGTCGCACTGCATTATATTCTTTTACAACATGTAAAAATTTGCACAACCATTCACCCAATAAGTACCTGTTTTCAGCTTCCTTTCCTCGTTGAGTGCCCGCATGACGAGCGCCAGGAAAGTCAACGTAAATATAACTTTTACTGGCAGCTATCTTCCATGGTAGAGCACACTGTGCACTGAGCATTGCATAATCTCTGCCCCCCCCTAGTTTTTGTGAAAGGGCTGTACCTCTACCTTCAAAACATTCAAGGGACTTTTACAGAGCAGGTTCTAGGGTAATTCTCGAAGTAGCAGCTAGGTGACCAGAGCCCACGTGTCATGCAATTACTGGTTGCATTTTCCGGACATTCTAACCTATCAGGCCCTGAACTGTAGTAGATATGATTGGTGGAGGTGCAGGATAACGTCTTCTAAGGTTGTTCACCATTCAGGTATATCAACTGTTAAATAAATATTCTCGTATGACTTGCATGGTGTAGGCTTCGGGAGACAGACATCAATAGTCGATTTCAAGGCTGATGCTTTCTGCTGCCTCCGTCATTGCCATTCGGCTTTATTGAACAGAGTGAGCAGATAACCACGCTTTCATCCTGCACAAAACATTCGCATACTAAGCGGGCGTACCCAGTTCCTTTTGAACTGATGGTCATCAAAGCAGTTATCTCGCTGTAAACCATATGAAAAACAATCACTGGGACGATAGGATATGAACCTGCTTAATATGCAGGATTGTCATGGAGTATGTATACCCATTGACCGGAGGATACTTCAAACTGCATTGCTTAAGACCCCATAGAACCATCACGTCAGGTGAAAGTAGCGTGAGCAAATATTCAATGAGTGTAAGAACCGTAGGTTTATTCAAGGCGTCATAGCACGAGATTACATAACTAGTAGCTGGCAGAAATCTAAAAACTGTATAAAAGTGACTCATTCATGTCCTGTCGCCAGTAGCTGACAGACTGCAAAATTGTGCACCGACATGCTGTAGTCTCAACAGACACTGGTGAGGCAACGTGGGACAGGATCTTGTCATAGGCTGTCACGCCCTAAGGACGCTGGACACGTGGTGGGGTCACGCTTGGGTGTCAAAAAGTTATTTTCTCACACAAGAACTCTCTCAATCTCTCTATCTCTCTATCTCTTTGTGTATGGGCACACACTGATTTACTGACTGTGAGAACACGTTCGACTAATTACGGCAACTTAAAACCTTGTTGCCGAAATTGACGGAGACATTACGGCAAATTCAAAACTCGTTGCCGGAATTGATGGAGACATTACGGCAACTTAAAAACTCGTTGCTGAAATTGACGCAGACATTTGCACGAGGGTGAAAACATGCTATATGACGCAAGAGATGACATAGGAGTTAGCGATAATGAAGCGATGCAAAAAGAACAAGATGATGAGCACAGTTATCAAGTCAGTTAACGCAGTTTTCCACAACACTAAATAAGGCTGGGAAGGTTTCACCATGTGCGGGTCAAGGCTGCTTGGTCGACGAGTCACTGCGTGGAGTCTCAGGCCGGCAGCAGGGACAGGCCAGGCGTTGTTGAAAACCAGCAGAGTCGATTTCGTGGAGAGAACTGGTCTCAGGGCTGATAGTAGGCCCAGGTCTTAAATGCACCAGGGTCCCAGCACGAGGAATTGGTGCCGGTTACCGGAACACCAGTCGAGGTGGAAGATCCATGAATGGTGTGCAGGCAGCGGTCTGCTTCGGAACCAGAACCTGATGAGCGCCTCAGCCAGCGACTGCCTTCCCGTCACGTTCTCCTACTCACGCCTTCTTCTTCACTTTTCTTTCTGCCTGTCCAGCCTGGCTTCCGATAACAATGTGGTTTCAACCTGTCTTGTCGTCCATCTTCACCGACACACTACACAGCACAAACCTACAACCCCCACGCACCTAACGAAAGTACCGCGCACTTCATGGCACTGACACATAGTGGGTACGTCTCTGCTTTTCTATAAAGTGATGAATTTTCTTGCACTCAGACATTCACTGGGCATCCCATGTAAATTTGAAACATGCTATTCCGAGTTCTACTCGCGAACAGAAGCTCCCGCGCAAACAAAGCCACCAGAAATCTCGCACGTCGTTGTACTTGTGAAGCGGCTTCAGCGCACCCACCTTTTACGAGCAGGATATCGTAATAATGCTGCGGCAATGCTGATTAACCACCTTCACCAACTTACTCTTCGAAGCCATCGTCATGTATTGCAAGTGAATTTTGACCAATTCCAAGCACGGGGATCAGCGAAGGCAGGTTGCGACAACGCTGTATGTGGCCCGTGCTAAAGAAACCGTGAATAAAGATGCTACTTCATGAGCCATATGAGAAATGAAGCAGTTTCACTTCACCTAACTGTGTGGCAGGCTACTGCTATAGCTTACGCCGATATTTTTTGTGCGCCTCACACACACCAGAAGATTTTAGTGCGTTTTGTTACTTTGCTCAATCAGAAAGTCATACAAGCCAAAATCGCACTGTGTAATAGCATTCAAGTTTCACACGAAGGAAAGCTATAGGAAATCTATCGAAGGAAAGCCTTAGGAAATCGACCGGCAGCGTCCGCGTCCCGCAGCGTAAGCGTTAAAACGATTGATGCAACACATATTAAAAACGTGATGAAGCGCTATTATCACGCCATTCTTTCATAAAAGATGCCCGAATTTCGTGACGTCACAAAGCCTACACTTTACACCACATCATATTATCGTCACACCACATCGTCGCTTAGTGAACTGCGGGCCGCTCAGAGAGCTGGAGCAAATCTAGGTGAGATGCATAAAGTTTCCAACGCGTTCAATGAGCAGGCAATTTAAACTCACGCTAGGTGCAGAAGCGTTTCAGATGGAGACAGAAAAGGATAAATGCATTGACCCTAATATGAAGAACGTGGCTGTCGCCTTCGACTTAACCCATTGGGGACCAGTGTGCTTTACAAAAAATTGCCAGATCCCACCTACAGTAGGAATCAGTGATATGCGAAGTACGAATGAGGAAGGTTGATATGTCACTAAAACCACCACAGCGTTACGTGGTGGAGGTAAATTATGCTGTAGACGACTTCATTGTCCTGATTATGATGTTTGGATGTGTATTTTATCTTCGCCATCTATTCACATCAGGTTATGCCAAATTTAGTATATGTAAAGGTAGCGAAACAGCCGCAAGCACGCTATGAACGTAGCATGTTGTCATGTTCTTTCATGACACGCGTGTCTTGATTATCATGTTCGCACAAGAGATATACCTTTGTCATTCATTGACGTCGCGTAACGCCAAATTTGTTATATGTGAAGCTAGCGAAACAGCCGCGAATGCATCGTGAAAGACCAAATATACTCAAACGTGACGTTGACGCGCGCGCACGCTGGGCGTGGTGACTCTATCATCATCATCATCATCATCATCATCATCATCATCATCATCATCATAATAATAATAATAATAATAATAATAATAATAATAATAATAATAATAATAATAATAATAATAATAATAATAATAATAATAATAATAATAATAATAATCATCATCAGCCTGACTACGTCCACTGCAGGACAAAGGCCTCTCCCATGTTCTGCCAGTGTTCCGATGCTCTGCCACCGTGACGCTATACGTTAGCAAAAGGGGAGAACTACAGTCTCACACCAGGCACGACTGGCGCGACCAGCGTCCATCGGCGCGGCCCGATGGCAACCGGCGCGAAATGCGACATGCTGCATTTCACGCCATTGCGTTACCTACACAGCAATGCGTCTGGCGCTTTTCGCGACGGAGGACACGCCGGACGCGCTGAAACGCGGTGCGTCAAAGGAACGTAGCGCGGCACACGCCTGTCAGAATACGACAGGATCGGCGCCTGGTGTGGCAACGCCGGCGTGCCGCGACAAAACGAACGCTGGCGCGCACGGGCGTCATGTCACGAAGTGTATTGTTGCCTTGACTGTGGCATGTAGTCATGTCACATGATACGCATGTAATGATTATCACGTTTGCACCATCCACATACCTTAGTCTGTTGTTACATGACACGCATGTTGTTACATGACACGCATGTCGTGATTCTCATGTTTGGATGTGTCATTGACCTATGTCGTTCGTTGGCGTCACATAATACCGCATTCAATACATGTGAAGCTAGCGAAACGGCCGACAGCACATCATGAGCGTAGCAAGTAGTTAAGCTGTTACATGACACGCATCTCATGATTATCATGTTTGCACGAGTTATGTACCTTCGTCATCTATTCACGTACCGTAATATCAAATTTCGTATATGTGACACTAGTGATGGCCGCGAGTGCATCATGAGCGTAGCATGTATTCATGTTGTTACATATTAATGTTAAGGTCTGTCCCTTCTGTTCGGCATGCAATAATGTCATACCACACCAGTTTTGCAACATTTCACGTGAACGAGACCACTGCAAGAGCAGCAGGACCATGAAATGTAAATCATGACATTAATGACATACATCTCATAATGTTGTTATGACTAGGGAATATGCTCGTCATACAGTCATGCTATGCCATACCAAGTTTGGTATCGATACCATTATCCAAACGGCCAGGAGAGCTAAATGTCGTAGGCGGATAGATAGATTGATAGACAGATATATAGATAGATAGATAGATAGACAGACAGACAGATAGATAGATGGATAGGTAGATAGCTAGCTAGCTAGCTAGCTAGCTAGTTAGATAGATAGATAGATAGATAGATTGATAGATAGATTGATAGATAGATAGATAGATAGATAGATAGATAGATAGATAGATAGATAGATAGATAGTTAAACAACCCCAGGTGGTCGAAATTTCCGGAGCCTTCCACTAAGGCGTCTTTTATAATCATATGGTGGTTTTGGGCCGTTAAACTCCACATATCAATTAGATAGATAGATAGATAGATAGATAGATAAATAGATAGATAGATAGATAGATAGATAGATAGATAGATAGATAGATAGACACGCTCAAAGTCGCCGAAGTTCGTAAACAAATGCTTCGCATATAAAACACTTCCTTACTCAGGAGAAAGTAAGTAACACATCATGCAGACTTTGCTCGTTAAATTTTTGCATCCTAAGAGGGACATCAAGATAATTCTAACTTAGTATATTGACTCTGTTCTATCTATTTGTAATCTATGATTTGTTAAACTTTAAAGAAACGAGAACCCGTCAAACGCACGTGGTCAGTACTCTCTTTCCGGAATGCATTTCAGGTTTTACAATTTATTCCTTGAAAAATTAGAAAGCAAGTGCTTCAGCAAGAACAGAATAATTTTTGCGCAGCGCAAGAAGTGTATAGAGTGCGCAGTTGTGCTCGGACAGGTAATCATCTCTAGGTGTACTTTTCATATAGCAGAGCGTTTTCGTGGAGCACACACGGAGTTACCAAATGCTTTGCGGTGCCTCAGTGACCGAACCAGCAAATGTTTTTCACAAAAATGCCAACATTTATGTAATATGAGACACACGAGGCTGACACACATACCGCTGCAAATATTCAAGAGCCTGTTGAAGTTTTGATTGTCGCTTCTGACCCTAAAACATTTAGCAGCACAAAGAAATCACGATGATACGAAGGGCGCTCTTTTAAATGGTACGAAAGGAACGTGGGGAGTGCAGTTTCTGTTTTGATACTGAAACCAGTTTTGTTTCGAAAAGGTTATATAAAAAGCTATTCGCTATGTGCCCAAATGACCAGGTGGCCATTCAATAAAAAGAACGAAAGCAAAAAAAAAAGTAATGTCATTGTGAACTCTCCTCAGCAGCTGTAACATTGGCATACAAGGGGCTAAGCTTTACGACAATGCTGCGAATAACTACCTATATTTCATCTGTGAGACAAATAATATAAGTCCTCTTCTATTCAGATAATAGAAATGGCCACAGGGACGAACACGGGATCTGCAGCTGTGCTGTTTGTTTCAGCAGACTTCGTACGCATTGACTATTGTCCACCAGTCGCATAATAACAAGACAGTCACTTGGGGTTGTAACCAACGGAAGTGTCTAAAGACCTGTAGTTTCCCCTAAGCTTGCTATTACACTCTATGCATACCATCATTTTCACAATGCTCGGCAATCAATGCAAGTAAACCACAATATATTGAAGTAGTGCCACAAAAAGCGTAACCTTACGCTTTGCATAAAGCGCTGGTGTTTCAATAAGCAGTATGGAACAAGGTGGTTTCAGTATTTGTTTGGCAATGTCGTAGTGTACTCTCGATTCTTGCATATCACCAATTTTTCTGACGCTATTTTGAGGGTCCAGCGTACTTTCTAAAGTACAGCGTCGTAGCTTCTGTAAAATGTCGTGTAACTCTTAGAAAATGTGCACGTGTTCATGTCTATTTTATTTGGTTAGATATAAAAAATCTCAAAAAAAACCCTACCAGAACGTTTTTCCTGGTTCATCATATCTTATGCAGAAGGCACCCTTTGGGTTTCTTCTTTCTTGCTATTTACAAAGACAGGAGAAATATAAATCGCATAATTGCTAGCCAAATGTCTCCACGTAGAAGCGAAGCACTCTTATGAACTGTATTTTCAAGAAATATGTGTTTTTCGCGTTTGTTACCGGGTGTTGTTGGTGTCCGTAACGAACACATCTCCTGCGTTCACGCCATTTTTTGTTGTTGTTTGTACAACTAAACTTATGCGAAAATATCTCTAAAGGTGACACCACGTGTAATTGGTTTGCAGAATCATATTGCAAGTTAATTAGAAAATCATTTCAAAGAAATAAACGAGTTCACAAAAAACAAGAACCTTAGTTTATTGTCGACGCATATGAGTATTGGTAATAATTAGACTAGGAAGAAAATGTTGTGTTCTTTATTCTGCATACTCGCATTACACTTTGATGCATAAATGATGAAACTGCTGAAGAAACTGCCGAAGAAAAGAAAGATTGTCTTCATTTCGCAGCTTTAAATTCCAACCTTTTTTGATTCCTATTTAAATTACCTAAACGCTTGTTCAATGCATACTTATACGTGTGTCCCTAATTTTCCACATGCCACACAAGAGAGAAACATGCAGCGAAAACGTATTTCAGAGCTATGCAACATGTCGTGGGTCACGTATTGAATACGTACCCACGAAATAAACTAAACCATTGAAATATGAAGTTGCATCACCCACGCGAGAAATAATTAAGAAGTCGGTGCTCTACGCCATCAGCTACACAAAAGTTGGTTATAGCAATAAATGCAATCCACTATATAGCACTACATTTTTCATGCTCAAAGCTACGTTCCCCATGAGTATTTGACAGCCGGTAAAGAAGGCGGCTCGTAATCTGTAAATTGCTTGCTCGAAGATTTTTGGTATGTCGTGAATTAGCGACATTGGACAACAAAAGGTCATCTTCACTATTGATATCGAGCTCATGATGTGTTGCTGTCGATACAGTAAGCGATGGTAAAATCCAGATAATGACAATGCTTCAGTCGATGAGATTTTTCTGAAAACAATTTTGATTTTTTTTGTGTTAGGTGCCAACAGTCCATGAAAAGCGCGTGTACCGGTATGTACTGCTACCTATTTCAACTCAGTGTTACTCTTACTCAGATTCTTTTCTCTATCTCAAAAGCTGCAGAAAAGAACACTCCTAAATCACGAGCATGAATTTTCGCAAGATATCACGCCATCGGTGGAAGTCTATGTTTCCAATATTCTTACTCTATCACTGCTCAACGATACCGTGGTCATTCAATTTATTGTATATTTCATGTGAATTGAACTTGAGATTGACCAATGAGCTGCCCCAAATATCGTATGGGCGTGCTTCGATCATGTTAAGTGTCTTTTGCATTCCCTAATTCTAAGACACAGCTCTTCTAACGTCAGTGCTTTTGTGTGCATGAATTTTATGTGTGCGTGATTGTGCCTCTATTGGGCTGTTTCATTTACATTATACTAATAGGATGACACGAAACTATTATTCCAATGTTGCGGTGAATTTGTCTCTGTCTAGTTTATGACATACGTTAACAGTAGAAAGGTGCGAACACATTTCAGTTGTGGAGAAAGACGATTCAGACAGATAATGCCCCCTTTTGAAAAAATAAACAATTTCCTGCAAATGATTATGATAGCTATGAAATGTGCGCTACGTCAGCTCGTCCTAATCAGCGTTTGCGTCGTGGGTCACTTTTGATAATTTACAAGCCAAAAACCAAGCACTTGCTTTGTAACTTTTGTAGAACGTATGCGACCTGAAAAAGCAATGAAGTGCACTTACTCTATTTCCAGGGATGCTATTTATACAGTGAAACGTGAGCAATCCAAAGTACGCCTATATATCCATGCTTATACTAGTAAGTTGTTTCTTTCGGTCTGTCACAATATTCATACATGTTTTTTATGAATGAAGTTTTATGAAAGTATGCTGAAAATTGGGACGATTCTACATGGCTGTTTTGTGATTTTCGCATGAAACCAATTATGACTACCATCGTAGGTTTCAGCCGAGGTTAACAATATTTATTACGTCTACTTCGTTACACAAAGTCTCCCAGCAGATATTTTGTAGTGTACTGAATAAAAATACTTTATATTGGCACCTCCATACGAAATGCTAGGTTAATGGGTGCAAAATGGTTGGTGGATATAATTCAAACAATAGATGGCAATGGGGAAAATAGGGGGTCGCTTGGAAAATGTACGCGTGGGAGATAAGTGCTCGTTGGTGAGCTGGATGCTAACCACGGGTGGCTTTTCATCTTGAGTTTTCCTGTATATGAATGCGTATGCCCATACGGTGCATGACGGAATCTTTGTTGACAGTAAAAACGTGCCGGGACAGTCTATGTAATTGCTATCGCAATAATAATAGTGAATAAGCTTGAAGCTGTGGGGTCAAACTCGCTGATAATTTCAAGATTGGGAAAACGGTGGCAGGTGGCGGTGGATGTGGTGCCGATCTTCATTTGGTGTTAAAAGCAACTAGTGATCGTGAAGGTTGGAAATGTTACTTGATGGTGCTGAATGGCCCGGATAACAAGCTGCATGGCAGTGAAATAATGGAATTGTGCATATCTTGGTGGCATAGTGAAGTACCCATGAATATATATAGAATCAATAAATATTAAATGTTTTACAGTCGTTTGGGCGGAAAAATGCGTTGACAGTCCAAAAAAGCCAATGCTGATCAATTCGTTTGTTGCAAACTTTTTCTTCTTCGTGCGGTGTCAATGACTGCCTTCAGTTCTCTGAAGCACAACCGCCGTAATTGTTTACAATTTGTGAACAAAATTATATCCCTTTCACATCCTCGATTTTGTGCTGTTTTGTGATATTTACAAATTTAGACGAATTGTTGTGGCCACGGACAGTTAATGTCTTACATGGCAGCGCACACCTAAAAATCTTCTTTGCTTGAGCTCACTGACTTCGGGTTGTAATATTTTACTGTGTTTATATATTGCCCTTTGTGTGTTTTCTTTGCTAAGTGCTCTAATATACTTATTCATTTCATTGAGATATATGGGGCTACTATAATTCTTAATTGGAATTACAAGAATAATTCTGCTTTTCTGTACGCCCCTAATGACCAAATGTTTGTGTCAACTATAAGGTATTTACTTTTCTTTTTTAACTTTGCTTTTTCGAATTCGAGTGTTTGTTGTTCGCAGGTCGATATTCATTTTTGTATGAAGTTCTCAAGTTTGAAGTTTTTACTTGTGTTTACATGAATTCCAACTATTACAGTTTCAGTTATGTACACTGTAAAGGACACATGCGCTAGCCTCCAGCTATGAGAACATAAAGTTTGTGCGTATTTTGTGCTCCTGAGTGATGGAAGCCCGACACAACTGCGAGGAACGACACACAGCAGCTGCTTCGACCAGACACTGGTGTCATGTTGCCTGAGTTCAAAAGTGTGGTGGTTTACAGTTATCAAAACCTGTGGTAGCGATCACATTCTGACATATGTGAGCATTGACGGCCAAACAACTTCGTCCTCACTGGTCAATCGGTATATAGACCAGACACTTAACGAAGATCAAGTAGAGGGAGGGTGCAGAAGTGATTCTTTGTGGGTTAAAAGTAATTGCCAATACAATAAAAAATTGTGTGTGCCGCTTCACACACTAACACAAGCGCACGGAGCTTGACATCGATATAGAAAGGCTTCAGGCATTACGTAGACGTGCTGAGAGAAGATACAGGCGTACCAAGTAAATTCTTGACTTCAGAATTGCAGGGCGTATGCAAAAAATACAGCGCCGAATAGGGAAGCTGCAGGATCAAAGACGGAAAAGCTTTTGCGAGTCAGTACACCTACGGAAGCCATTGTCTCATGTGCGGAGAACTCTAAAGGGTCTTCACTATGGTGCCATGCAACGTCGTCGCTTCAAGGCTTTCGCGCCTCGTCTAAACCGTCGTGAAATCGACGTTGCAGAGGATGTTTGCGTGAACGTCAATCACCGACGGGACAGTCCTATTATCCGATATGCAATTATACGATATACACGGTCCGGGAGATATAAGCATAACTGCACTATTTTCTATGGAAGAGCTAGAAGCTGCACTGACACTGTGTGGGCGTTCTTCTTCACCAGGGCCCGATTGATAACGTATATGGCTCTCCGTGACAAAGAACGTGACGGAGAATCAGCTCACGGGATCCGGACCAGACCGCCTCGCATGCAAGAGGTCCGTGGTTCATATCCCGGTGCCGCGCAGTTCCCAACCGGATTTAAAAAAAATCCGCGTGTTGATGGAACTGCATTAATAGGCCTGGGGTGTGGCCTCACTGGTAACCACCGCCGGGAACGCACTCCCTCACCAGAGAAAGATTGGCCATCCTGGTGCAGTATCTGGCCACTACCTCCCACATGCATACGTCAAATGACTCACGGCCCTCAGTCTCCAGCAGCTGCGAAGCAACTCACCACGGCGGCGGTCAGATCTGCAACGCAGCAGAGGGTGCTAAGAATCTCTGGATCCGGACAAGCCGCCATTGGAACTTGAACTTGGCAACATATAACGCTAGAACCTTGTCTAGTGAGGGAAGTCTAGCTGTACTATTCGAGGAGCTAGAGGGTGTGAAATGGGATATAATGGGGCTCAGTGAGGTTAGGAGGACAGATGAGGCCTATACTGTGCTACAGAATGGGCACGTTCTTTGCTATCGGGGCTCGGCAGACAGAAGAGAACTGGGAGTGGGGTTCCTAATTCACAGAAATATAGCTGGCAACATAGAGGAATACTATAGCATTAATGAAAGGGTGGTAGGTATTGTAGTTAAACAGAATAAAAGATACAAGTTGAAGGTAGTACAGGCTTACGCACCTACATCCAGCCATGATGACTCTTTACGTGAAAGCTTCTATGAAGACGTGGAATCGGCAATGAGTAAGGTAAAAACACAGTACACTATAGTGATGGGTGACTTTATAGCAAAGTTAGGGAAGAAGCAGGCTGGAGACCAGGCAGTACGAGATTATGGCATCGGCACTAGAAACGCCAGAGGAGAGCTACCAGTAGAATTCGCAGAACGCAATAATTTGCGGATTTTGAATACCTTCTACCGAAAACGAGAAAACCACAAGTGGACATGGAGGAGCCCTAATGGCGAAAGGAAGAACGAAATAGACGTTATAATGACTGCACACCCAGGAATCGTGAAGGATGTGGAAGTGGTTGGCAAGGTACGATGAAGTGACCATAGAATGGTACGGCCTCGAATTCGCCTAGACTTGAAAAAGGAACGACAGAAACTGATACGCAAGAAGCCAATCAATGAGCTAGCACTGAGAGGGAAAGTACAGGAATTCAGAGTGTCGCCGCAGAACAGGTACTCGGCTCTTAGTGAGGAAGCCAACCTTAGCATAGATACAATGAATGATAATCTGACGAGTATCATTACGGAGTGTGCAGTGTAAGTTGGAGGCAGGGTAGTTAGAGAGGACACTGGCAAGCTTTCCCAGGAAACGAAGTACCTAATTAAGAAGCGTCAAATCATGAAAGTCTCAAGTACAACAGACAAAATAGAACTGGCAGAGCTTTCGAAGTTGATTAATAGACGTAAGGTATGCGATGTAAGAAGGTATAACATGGAGAGAATTGAACACGCTCTAAAAAACGGAGGAAGCGTCAAAGCAGTAAAGAGGAAACTTGGGATAGACAAAAGTCGGATGTATGCACTAAGGGACAAAGAAGGCAAAATAACTACCAATATGGATAGTATAGTTAAAATAGCGGAGGAGTTTTACTGAGATCTGTACAGTAGCCGAGACAACCACGACCTTAATACTATAAGAACTAGCAGTAACCCAGATTACACCCCACCAGTAATGATAGAAGCCAGAAAAGCTTTGGAGAGTATGCAAAGAAGCAAAGCTGCTGGTGAGGATTAGGTAACATCAGACCTGCTGAAAGATGGAGGCCAGATTGGGTTAGAAAAACTAGCCACTCTGTTTACGAGGTGTCTCCTGACGGGAAGGGTACCAGAGTCTTGGAAGAACGCTAACATCATCTTAATACGTAAGAAAGGAGATGACAAGGACTTGAAGAATTACAGGCCGATCAGCTTGCTCTCTGTAGTATACAAGCTATTTACAAAGGTAATGGCTAACAGAGTAAAGAAAACAATAGAATTCAATCAACCAAAGGAACAAGCAGGATTTAGAACAGGCTACTCAACAATTGACCACATTCATACTATCAATCAGGTAATAGAGAAATGCTCAGAGTATAACCAACCACTATACATAGCCTTCATAGATTACGAGAAGGCGTTCGATTCAGTAGAAATATCAGCCGTCATGCAGACACTGCGGAATCAGGGCGTAGATGAAGTATATATAAACATTCTGGAAGAAATCTACAGGGGATCAACTGCTACCATAGTGCTTCATAAAGAAAGCAACAGAATACCAATCAAGAAGGATGTAAGGCAGGGGGACACAATCTCCCCAATGCTATTTACCGCGTGCTTACAGGAGGGTTTCAGAAGCCTAGAATGGGAACAGTTAGGGATAAGAGTTAATGTAGAATACCTTAGTAACTTGCGCTTCGCCGGTGACATTGCATTGCTGAGTAACTCAGGGGACGAATTGCAACTCATGATTACGGAGTTAGACAAGGAGAGCAGAAAGGTGGGTCTTAAAATTAATCTGCAGAAAACGAAAGTAATGTACAACAGCCTCGGAAAGGAGCAGCGCTTCGAGATAGGTAATAGTGCACTTGAAGTTGTAAAAGACTATGTCTACTTAGGGCAGGTAATAACCGCAGAGCCTAACCACGAGATTGAAGTAACTAGAAGAATAAGAATGGGATGTAGCACATTTGTCAAGCACTCTCAAAATATGACAGTTAGATTGCCACTATCCCTCAAGAGGAAGGTATATAACAGCTGTATCTTGCCGTTACTTAGCTACGGAGCAGAAACCTGGAGACTTACAAAGAGGGCTCAGCTTAAATTGAGGACGACGCAGCGAGCAATGGAAAGAAGAATGGTAGGTGTAACCTTAAGAGACAAGAAGAGAGCAGAGTGGATTCGGGGACAAACGGGGGTTAAGGATATCATAGTTGAAATAAAGAAGAGGAAATGGACATGGGCCGGGCATGTAGCGCGTAGACAGGATAACCGCTGGTCATTAAGGGTAACTAACTGGATTCCCAGAGAAGGGCAGCGGGTTAGGGGGAGACAGAAGGTTAGGTGGGCAGATGAGATTAAGAAGTTTGCGGGTATAAATTGGCAGCAGGAAGCACAGGACCAGGTTAACTGGCGGAACATGGGAGAGGCCTTTGTCCTGCAGTGGACGTAGTGAGGCGGATGATGATGATGATGTGGTGATGATGATGATAGCTCTCCGTCAACTAGGCCAAGCATCTAGACGACAACTGCCGAATTTATTTATGCAGTCATAGAAATATGGCCTCGTCCCTCAAGATTGTAAATACAGCCGTCTTGTGTGACTTTTATAAGCAGAAAAGTCTTCTCTGGAGCTGACATCATACGGGCCTGCAGCTCTCGCCAGCTGCGTTGGGAAATTCACGGAGCGCACAATTCTTACACGTCTGAAATGGTTCCTTGAATGACACAACATTTACCTCGACTCCAAGGTGGGATTTTGATGAGACAGTTTGTCGATTGAAAACGTCATTGATTTGGTGTCATCATTGAAGCAGTAGAAATTCGGAAACTGACTAGAATTTGCGCTTTTTTTTTGCTGTGGAAGGTACATATGGCAACGTTTTCTATCAAGCTATACCAGACACCCTACTGTTAATTGACCTAGGAGCGCGAATATTTCGATCGATTTGAAGCTACCTGACATGAAGATGCTTTTTTGTATATACTGAAGATGGCCCAACCACAGCCCACAACACGTGCCGTGGCATCCCGCAAGGTGATGTTTTAGGCGCAGTTCTTTTCAACCTTGCCTTGCTTGGCCTGGCGGAAGCTCTTCAGGAAAGAGTCAGTCTTTCAATATACGCTGACGACGTCTGTGTCTGGGCATCAACATTGACACGGCTACAAGTTCGAGCAAGGATACAGTGGGTGACGTCGCAAGCATTTGATTATGTTCGCATGCAAGGTTTAACAGTCTCAACAGAAAAATGTGCACTGGTGGCCTTCCCGCGCATCGCTTTGACAAGTTACCCGATAAGCAATAATAGCCGACTCATCTCTTGGAAGCAAGCCACCATTTTCTATGTTTCATTGTTGACCGCGACTTCTTCTGGAGCCCTGGCATGTCTAGTTTGAAAGTGAAACTGGCATCTAGTGCTTATGTTCTGATAGTATTTGCTGGAAAAAGATGGGGTGCTTCATTGAATTCTATGCTACAGCTGCACCAAGCACATTGTATAGGTGTACTGCGCTACAGTTCTCCTCTGCTTACATAAACTTGCAAATCAAACGTTACAGCACGTCAGAGTGTGCAAGGAAAGGCACTGAATGTTTTTCTCAGCCGACCACGAACTACCTCAACTGCAGAAACAGTTTTATTGCCTCGGGATCTTCCAGTTACGAGCTACGCCATAAGCGACGTGCCGAGAGCACATAATCGGCACATTTTATGAATGGTATCGAGTCACTTATCATTTCTGCCGGAACAACGACCGCAGGTGCCGTTCTCTAAGGTCGTCAGCTCCCACCGCGCTTTGGCACCATCCAGTTTTATACCCTTGGGGCTTTCACCATCTGCCTTGTAGAGCCTATGAAAACCCGACGTGCGCCTTTCCGTCCCAGGAATAAGAAATAGAAAAGTTCTTTCTACATTGGCCTTGAAGCAAGCAACTCTGGTCTGTTTGCACACCTTCTAAGTTGGCAGAATTCACGTATACACGGATGACTCTACCACCCAGACTAGCTCCACCGTCATCCCATAGCTACACATCAGCTTTACTTACTTTGTAACGTGAGTACATCATCTGGCTCAGAAATTGTCGCCCAGCGAGGTGCCGTCGATTACATCAAGCAACAACCGGCTAATTGATGGGCAGTATTCTAAGATTCCAAGGTGGCTTTACATTGTCTTTCGTCGGCACTTCATCGTGGGTCGTACGAACAACTGGCGTGAGAGATCAGAGAAATGCGGCACTATGCGGCTGAACAAGTACACAATACTGTGTTCCAGTCGATACCAAATCATTGCGGTATCTCCGGCAATGACCTCGCCGATGAAGCAGTCAAAATGCACACGTAAAAAAAATCCTGTTTCCGTACTTTTATCTAGGATTCACGCGGCTAGATATCTGAGTAAGCTGGCGCAGAACAAGACTCTCCAGAAGTGGCAGCCATCGCAGTTCGTACATCATCGACTTTATTCTTTCGATCCATCTCTACGACTGCGGCTACCCTCTGGTCTTTCCAGGGAGAAAGGTACAGTGTTGTGCCATCGGCGTCTGGGCGTAGCCTTCAGCAATGCTTACTCATTTAATTGGGATGGCTGAAATCGCGGAGTGCAACGACTGCGTCATCAATTAGACTATTAAACACCTTTTATGTTTCTGTCTGGCATACACAAACAAGAGGTTCCACCTGCGCAGTGTTCTCCATCAACTGGACTGAAGTTATTGCACTATCGAGGAGTATTGGCACCATAACACTGCCCATCCCAATTCCGAAAGTATCGAAAGTGCTATTGCGTTTTTTCAAAAACACCGACCTGTTTCTTCGTTTGTGATGTGAAACTGTTCCGCATCGGACCAATCAGTTACTTTTTTCTTCTCCTCTATTACTTTCCTTCTCCCTCTCTTCTTCCCCAGTGCAGGGTAGCCTACCGGGGCTCAGCCCTGGTTAACCTTTCCACCTTTTTTCTTATTTTCTCTCTCTATTTTGCGTAAGATATATGTGAAATGAGAGAAACTTATTCGTAAAAAATTGAAGCCGGAGAATTAGGATTTTTAGGATTAAAAAAGGCAGCCGGGGCAACCAATAAGTGCTCACAATCAAATTGTTTTGTACTTGATGAGTGATGCTTATCGTCGAAATGCATTTCTTAGCCTTTTCTCATATTGTGGTAGGCAAACAGCATGAAGACATGAAAATGTCAGGAATGTACGATGTGTTATACGCAAACAAAGAATGCTTCATCGCTGGAACATTGCTCCCAAGTAAGTGCAACAGTTATATTGCCAGCGTAGGATATATATTTATTTCAAATATTTAGCAGAAGCGCAACAATAAAACATAACCTAAATATGTGAAGCGCATTGTTGTTTTGAATACTGAGGTGAACCTGAAAATAAACGAAACAGAACTGCCACTCAACCCCTTAACGTAATAATATTAAATATTGAAACGACCTTGACACCGCTAAGTGCTTCTAATAACAGTGCATCTTTTATAGAGACAGCTTAAGCCTCTCCTAAAGAATGTCCTAATGAACCTGTTGCGCAGTGAGCCTACTTGAATTTGAAAGTGATTTCGCAATAGAATACTTGATGAAAAATTATGCAGATCACCCGTACCGTGCGAATCGATGCAATTCATTCGAAGTATGAGACGGGATGGTGACTGCGATGATATAGATGATAAAGAAATTTTATTTATTTAGCAGAAGGATCCTCCCCGCTTTTAGGCGAGGGAGGGGAAGGACCAAACCTCGATGACGGTCATGATCCCGTGGGCCTTGGTGATGTCTTAGGCGTGCCGTATTAAGCGGGCTTGAAATTGAAAGTCAGAGCTGAGGAGCGTGGTATTCCATTCACTGCTGTCTGATTATTCACCTTTCATGGGGGCTTGCGGGCATGCCCTTAAAATGGGGCTCAAGTCCGCCCTATTGATGAAAAATTTACACTTATCTGAATGAAGTTCCAGCACGCAGTGGTTCATTGTTACCGGGCTAGGGAGCGTATTGGTCTAAAGTAGGCACCACACCACCACCTGTCCTTTGTTCAATGACGAGTGTGCGAGAGGAGAAATTTTCCTGCTTAGCCTGTAAGGCTAATATCTCTGTAAGTGGTCATCCGCTCAAGTCTCGTCGTCCTCCCAGCTCAACCAGCGCAATCCAGAGGATCGGTCTGTGAGTCCTCGAGCTGTCTCATGTGCAGCCTCATTGCCGGGTGAAGAGGAGTGAGGGGGTGCCCACATATATCTTCTGTTCGTTGGTATTTGTGTGCAGGCAATATTTTTTAAGCTATTCAGGGTATTCGACCTCTTGCAAAGTTTGTCATAGTCGTCCGCGAGTCACTAACGATTAGTGAAGTAGAGGTCCATGCTATGGCCAGTGCAATAGCTGCTTCCTTCGCCTCTTCTGCAAAGCTTGTTCTCACCGAACCACTAAACTTATGATTTCCCTTGTTGTCCACTACTGCTATAGTCATGCTGTCATTTTCTTTGTATTTGGCCACGCCTACGTATGTTGTTTCCGGTAAATCATTTACGTTGTTATGTAAATTTTCACGCTTTCAGCCCTCCTTGCTTTATGATGGTCGGGGTGCATGTTTTTGGTATCGGTAAGATTACTAAACATTTCCTGATCTCATACAGAATATTCTTTTTGGCTCTCAATTGGCTTGCGTAGTTTATACCCAGTTTCTTTAAGATGGCTCTGCCTGTTTTACTATGCGTTAGCCGTTCATATTGAGCAAATTGAGCAACTCTTCGAGCTTCTATAAACTCTTCTGATGTGTTATGAAGACCTAATTGAAGTCTTTTCTCATTAGGAGTTCTTATATGAAGTCCGATCGCCTGTTTGAAAGCTTGTTTAATGATCCTGTCAACTTTTTTTCTCGGCCACTTGCTGTCTAATGTCACCTAATGCTGTTTTGAGCGATACGTTATTACACACACACACACACACACACACCACACACACACACACACACACACACACACACACACACACACACACACACACACACACACACACACACACACACACACACACACACACACACACACACACACACACCACACACACACACACACACACACACACACACACACATACACACACACACACACACACACACACACACACACACACACACACACACACACACACACACACACACACACACACACACACACACACACACACACACACACACATACACACACACACACACACACACACACACACACACACACACACACACACATATATATATATATATATATATATATATATATATATGAGATCTAACAGACAGTAATGCCAAGGAATGTACAGGGGAAGTTATTAGAACCAATGGAATGTAAATAGGAAGAAAGAAAAGTGGATGAAAAAATAACCAGCCGTGAGCAGGTTATTCCTGCTCATGGCCGGTTGTTTTTCATCCACTTTTCTTTCTTCTTATTTACATTCCATTGGTTCTAATAACTTCCCCTGTACATTCCTTGGCATTACTGTCTGTTAGATCTCATTAATATTGTGTTAAAACACGGAAGGACGAGCCCTTAGGTATACACTTCTTTCCCTTATATATATATGTACATATATATATATATATATATATATATATATATATATATATATATATATATATATATATATATATATATATATATATATATATATATATATATATATATATATATATATATATATATATATATATAAATAAGGAAACGAAGTGTATACCTACGGGCTCATTTTTCCGTGTTTTGATGGCACAATAATATTGAGATCTAACAGACAATAAAGCCATGGATTATATATATATATATATATATATATATATATATATATATATATATATATATATATGAAGAAAGGCAGGGAGGTTAACTGGAAAGCAAGTATTTATTTATGCAAATATGTCCAATAATACGTGCGAGGCTTCACAAAGCAGCGAAATCTATTTTGGCTACCTTAGAAAACAAAGCGTCGAGATTCCTTCAAAAATTTTGCTGAAGATATTGGAAAAGGCCGAAAGGTCGTACGAACATAGATATGTTCAAGAGTGATATACGTCGTAGATAACCAGTTGCGTACACTTTCGTAGCGATGCCAAGAGTGACACAGTTATTACCAACGCCACACATGATAGGCTGCTTTGTGAAGCTTACATTTTTCAGTTAAAATGGAGAACACGCACGCGCTTCAAGAACCCGTTTGAATATGTGAGAGGGTTTCTTGACTGTTCTGGAACAAGGTCGTCATCACTGTGATGAGTGAACGCCACTAGCTGCACAGGGCTTGTTATCAGATAAGTTTGCGATTGTCACTGTGAGGCGCAAGGCGAAAGGCTGAAGACATACGGGCATTGTAATTACATATTTAATGAAGCAAGGGCTGAAAACACACTGCGGTCAAAAGGGCAACGCTCGCACAAGCACGACAAAGTTCCGCATCACGCTACCAATGCGCGTAGTCCTGGCAGTTTCTGCCTAGCGTCTCGCGCTGGGCGCTGTCTCACGAGGCCAGGACAAACAGCAGGCGAAGTGGCTGCGGGAGCTGCCATCTGTCAGGAGGCACGGCACATGGGCACTGCGGGACGGCCAACTCCCCCCCCCCCCTCAAAAACCACCCCATTTTTGACGACGAAGTCTCATGGTCATGGTCTTTAGCACAAGAAAGCCTTAAAAGTAGCATAGGGCTGGCGACGTTGGCGTAGCTGCCGTAGCGCGACGAACCACTAAGGTTAAGACAGTGTTATGGCTCACAACCTTCAAATGTCTTCGTGGCGTCAGCGGCCTGAGGCTTGGCAACTTTGTTTGGAGGCTGATCGTCTTTGCTTTCCGGAGGTGAGTCGCTGTCGTCCTTCCGGGGTTTAGCCGGAGTCGCATTTGCTGTGGCGATAGGCAGAGTGACAGCGGTTTTTGGCGTCAGCACCGTCTCCTTCGACTCAGATTCGTCTGAACAGCCTGAGCTTGACTCATACTGCTTGGAAGCAGCTTTCTCGCCTAACACGGCATTGTAGGTCTTTGGTGTCACCTTTGCGATTGCTTGCTTCTTGGCCGGAGGTGGTTTCGGCGCGTCATACTCAAAAGAGTCAGAAGAGATGTCCTGCTGCTTTTTCAATTACTGATGCGTTTTGGCAGCCACCCTCAGCACAGTCTTTTTACTCGGAGGTTCTGCGGCTTCGGGGTGTAAGCTGTAGGCCATGTTGGTAGCAGGCTTCGCTCGCTTCCGGAGGGCTCTTAATTGAACAGCTCTCTGTTCTGATGTAGCAGCTTGTGGTGTCTTTCTGTGCGGTTCTTCGTCTTCAAAGGAAATAAATCCAGATCAAAGTCCTTGCTGAGCTGTACTGATGCTCTGGGCTTAAGCTTCTGACGCGAGGCGGGCGTTTTAGTATTTATCTTGGCGTTGATCTTGCCTTTTGCCACTTAATTGACCTGCAGCTTAGTTGGCTTGATCTTTTCTTTGGTGAGTTCTTTATTGGGGGGGGGTGCTTTACGATGAATGAAACTTTTCTCGTTTATTGACGAATTGACTGAACAGTGCTGCGACTACACTGTTTTATCATTGACATTGTTGTTCTCAAGGAGCGCTTCATGGCCTCCCAGTGGTAACACAGTGAACAAGTAGAGCCCCGAGGAGAATGTGCTCTTGAGGGCATTGCTCCACTCCTGCCATATCTCATACTGATGATCAAGTGCCAAGTGCCCGTTACGAGTAGCCCCCTTCAATTTGCTGGACGCGATGAGTCGAGTAGTGGCATTATTGCAAAAGGCAAGTTGTTGAACGCGACGCACTTGATCAAGCTCTGCGTTGACGTTTTGTCTCGGAGATTGGTCGAAGTGCGGAATTCACGCTGAAAGGTCAGGCAATGTCGTAACAACCGTTGCAGGTCGGGGAAATTGCTGCATCAGCGCCATGAGTGCTTGACTAGTAGTTTCATCCAATGATAATTTAGCGACCGATGCATTTGGTCTGGCGTGGGAGTTGACTCACGGTTTGTTTTGATGTCGTTGTAAAGACGCTGAACAAGATCGTCTTTCTTGATGGTTGTTTCTAAGTTGCGTCTCTGAAGTTCTTCTCGAAGAAGCTCAACACTATGGCGGGACATTGCGGCCTTAGCCGATTCATACCAGTCAATTCTGAGCATTGTGGAGTTTTACTGGCACGATGGCTGACTAGAGACAAACGCCGGAGTTCGAACGGTGTTGAAGGCTGAGCGGGCTTAGCTGCGTTTGAAAGGTTACCACGGCGTTCTAGCTAGGCTTCAATTTCACGAACGTGGCAAATGGGCAAAGGCTTCGCAGGCTGTCGATGAAGCTGTCAAATGGCCTTAAAAGGGCTTCGCTTACTTGCTGATGTTGTTGGAGGCTTGGACTAGCCGATCATTTTCGGGCGAAGGCGGGCTTGACGAGACGGCAAGATGCAGATGGTCAGTAGCAGAGGCTCGTCGTTCGGGGCGAAAAGCTCAAGACACACGCGCACTGTAAATACATATTTAATGAAGCTTAGGCTGAAAACACGCTGCGGTTAAACGGGGTGACGCTGGCACAAGCACGACAAAATGTCACATTGCACTAGCATTGCGTGCAGTCCCAGGCAGTCTCTAGCTAGCGTCTCACACTGGGCGCTGTCTCACGAGGCGAGGAGGAATGGCAGGCGACGTGGCTGCGGGCGCTGCCATCGGTAAGGAGGCACAGGAGATGGACACTGCGGAATGGCTTAGACCTCACACCGCCTTGAGGGGCTTATGTATTCCCAATGACGAAGTATAGTGCAGCTGCTGTAAATCCAGCATGTCTGTTAGGAGAAATCTCACCAGGCCTGCTCCAAACCGGAGCGCAGTCACAGCGAAGCTCCAAAAATGGACTTTCCAGAGCCCATTATTGCCTTTTTTGAGGTAACTAATGTGCACGTAAACATGCAAGGTCCTTTCTATACTAAACATTGTCACAACTTTAATGAAGTAGAGAAGCCCACACTAAGCCATTATTCTTCATTTCGTGGAGAAGCGCGCTAGCCGCTACACATGTAAGCAGGTATTGCAGACACTGTGTGGATGGTTTGGCTGATTGCGTTAGACACTTGTGGCTTCCCCTCTTATATTGAATTGAAGCAATGAATCGATCAGTCATTCTCAGTGAAATTCGTTTTCTTTATTGCTGTTTGAAGTTTCCCTCTTTTACTGAGCCATAATACTTATGTTAACTGGGCTGATTTTCTGACATGACTTCTGTATAGGTCACTATTTCGAAGGAGATTTAAGCAACAGCGCTTCCTCGCGGTAGCATACTGAAATGCCACGCAACCGGACCGGGCTCAAATCTCATTCGTTCCTAATAATTTTCTTTCACATTTTATTTTATTCTATTCTGTGCGAAAGTGCATGCTTACAGGCGACGCTTACAGAGGCAGCGGACGACTCCCCCACTGTCTTTGTCGCCCGATAAGATTTTCTGGTGTGAAAAAAGGCCAGGCCTGCGCGGCAAGCGTGGTACAGTTACGGTGAAAGCTGGAAAAGGGGCGTTTCCAGAAACTCATGAAATCTACACTATGGCATAGATATATTTTTTGTGAAATTGCGAAGCAGCTACAACGCTGTTATTTGTAATTCTGCGGAAAAGTGAGATACCCTTTCAGCGTTCACAAGCCAGTCAATCATTCAATGAATATATACATTCATTGAATGATTGACAGGAATACTCAACATGCCTGAGGTTCGCCAAGTAATCTTAACCCTATAAAAAGTCTTGTTTGTTTGTTTTCCGGCGCAGAAATGTGTGGCCCAGCTGGAACTCTAGGAATATTACATGGAGTCAGATGTATCGAGCCTACCACGTTTAAATAAGAAATACTGCGCCACGATTCAATACTCGAATTCCACGTGGAGTGCAGATGTTCAACCGCCGAAGCTTGCACTTCAAACTTTCACACACACAAAAAAACAAGACTGGAGAGGCGTTAACTATCCCAATGACTCATGTTACTCGTGTTATATCACACGGAAGACGCGCAAATGGGCATCAATTGTCTCGCCGTGTCAACAGTGCTACTCTTCGGGGCTTGAAATTCCACACCTAAGATAATACAAAGCGTTCAACCATCATACTCATCATCATACTCATCTACAGCGTCAACACAAAGTTAAACTTTTGTAGACGCGCGTATTGCCTAAAAGACCAGCCAGCAGCGGACGTTCTAGGCAAGTTCAAAACGGTAATTTTACCGCTTTCAAGGCACTGGTATGGCGTCTTCCTAGAAACAATTCACTGCACCCGAATGCGAAAGCGGCGTGAACGGGGCCAGATGCTCTATCAGGTCAGACACTTCAAGGCGAAACAGAAGCATTCTAAGAGTTGTGAAGTGTCCTTCATATGACTGCGAAGGCCAGAAGTATGAACGTGGTTTCATAACTCAGTTTCATAGTTGGTTGACTAAATTTTCCTCATGCAACCGAGGAGTGTTCAAACAAGCGATTGACTACTGTGGTCGCGCCCATTGCTACTCGCGTGTTTCATTGTCTTTAGGAACGATTCACGTCAAAAACGTTTAGTAACTAGTTAATACACTTCCTCACTGTCTGGTTCTGGTCATCATCACAATATGGGTGTTTGAACAAAAGCAGCAATCACTAACTCACCATATACATCATTTACCTTGCAGGTGACAAGTTAACTGCTGTAAACCAGATTCCCAGCTCTCCCAAAGGTAACTCTATCGCACTTACGCATACAATTCAAAAAGACGTGAACTGAGTGTAGCAAAGAACTAGATGTGTTTAACACTTCCTTATAAATACTGCATCCTAGCGTGGGATGTGAGAAAAATGAAAAAAACTTCGCATAAGACTTTGGCCAAAAATATGTAATCAATGATATAGACACGTACGAGCAGTTAATTTTATATAACATTGCTTCGCTAGATTGATTGAGAGTTGAAATTTTATAAAACTGGGGAAAGATAAGAAGTGACTCAAAAAGTGTCACAATGAGATCAATGGAAACGGAGTCGTTTTTAAACTGAATTGCATTTAGTAACAATGAGGTTACTTAGTACAGATTATTCAGAGACGTGCTTATCTAGAAGAACGTCTCTGTGCCTTACTGATAACAAAAAAATGCTCTTTTTTTAGGGGGGGAGGGAGCCCTGATAAAATCTGTAAAATTGCATCAAAATGTTGCTGTCACACGTAATGGCTGCTGGGTAATTCGTATTTAAGTTTAAACGATGACCTTTATTTCAATGCTTGAACTAGACCTCCAGGCTCTTTATTTGGCCGTTCGCAGTGGTGTACCAAGTCTTTCGTGAGTGGGGGGGGCAAACAACCTACCTTACTCATATATATATATATATATATATATATATATGTATATATATATATATATATATATATATATATATATATATATATATATATACGTTTTTTTTCAATGGCTGTACTTACGATGGAGTTAAAAATGTTGTAGGTACCCAGGTGGTCACAATTTCCGGAGCTTTTCACTACAAGGTCTCTCATATTCATATGATGGTTGTGGGACGTTTGACTCCACATATAAATTAATCAACTCACGACCATTCTGTCAACATGCGCGTATACCACACAAAGCTACAAAACCATCTAAAATGAAACATGCTTGTATAGGTACCAATGAGTCGTTTGCACAGGGCGCGAACATTCCTGCAGTTACCCCAAAGAACGGGTTATTTACTTCACAAGGAGCAAAGTGTCCCTCCTTGCCTGTGCAACGTTGTGCACACATTTCGTCTTTTGGAGGAGCAAAGAGCCCTTTTCGTGGTAATTTCGAAGTTACTCCGGCAAACTTTTATGTGCGTGTGTACATATATGTGAGCCCATCCTGGCAGACAGAAAGAAAACTAAGAAGCACTGCGCGTGTGTGCTTATTTTAGGTCAGAATTGTAATTTGAGCTGTAAAATACAACTTAAGTTTGATAAAGACTAACTAGCCCAACCCCTAATTAAAAAAAACATTGGACTCGAGACAAGTGGAAAGCGGAGCTTTCCACTTTTCTCGAGTCTAATGTTTTATCCTTCGCCACTTTGCAAACTACTTCCATCGCTCCTAGTTACCATAAGCAAGGCTGATCAGATTTATCAGAGACTAAAGAGCAAACCTTTTTGTGGCGATTCTAGTATGACAGAATTAAAGCATTTGAAAAGATTCGTCAGAATCATCGGCTCACTGCAGTTTCAATAAAGAAGTGAGGACGCTATTCGTTTTCAATGAAAGAAAACAATTTTCCTGACACAGCGTATGCTCTGACTGGTCCATAAAACGGCTGCTCGTTCTCATCCATAACAAAGCAAGTACAAGACTCTTGGGCGCCTTGTACTGTAGCTCGCCTTGCAATGGTACAGTACAAGGCGTGAAATAGTCGTATAGGTGGGCCGAACCGTAGGAACATTCGAGGACAATCGTCGCAGGAAAAATTTAGGAAAATATTTACTACATTAAAACATTCCCTTGTAATATTATCGTTTTCTTTTAACAATATATTTGAGTAATTTTTGTGGTTAAGGAAAACTTCGCCGGAGTTGATGGTCTCCCCAGTTTGCAGCTTATGGCCGTTCGTGCTTCTACCTCGGCCCAAATTTGGGATTTCTATGTACGTAACCAGAGTTTCAAGGATTTTATTATAACTAATGCCAAGTGTACCAATCATATGGAATCCTGTGACGAGATGTATTGCACAACCGCTGAGAAAGAAACATGAGACAAATATATTTTTTAATACTAACTTCAACCAGCAATACTGATCGAGATTGTCACAAAAAAAGTAGGCTTTTCATGAAGATGACAAAGTAATATTGCCCTGCGTATAAATGGAACTCTTGAGCCCAAGCATGATCTTGTTGTTGTCAGTTGTTGTAAAAAATGAGTACTTGGAGAAATTACGCCAGCGCAATCTCATAAGTCTAACTTGTATAGTACATAACACTCATTTAGAACCTCAGATTTCTAAAGCTTTTCATCCATTATGAAGTTTCAATAAAACTTGCACACATTTCCATCATTCGGTCTTATGAAAATGCATCTACGCAAAATCTCTTTCGTTAGGACGAAGTTAGCTATTTTCATGCTTGAGTACAACAACAATACGCTCGTCGTTATTGTATATTTTTGTGAAAAGGGCCTATATTAATGTGCATCACAGCTCTGTGTAAACGGGCACACATTCCAAGTTCTGCCTTACATTATTTGCAGACAATGCTGCTTGCTTGCTGTGGCGAAAGCTAAATGCGGGAAAAAGAAGTCGACATCGGTGTAGAGCAGCCTTCAAAAAGCGCTGTGCTAAATACGGAAAATACAGGTTTGTATTCACCAGAGAGGCCTGCCTTAAGAAGAGAATGACAAAGGTATCTGATCCCGGAGCCGTAGGCCTGAACTGAATAAAGTATATCTATTGGAACTGCCCCGAGGATGACTACAAAAACAGCGGGACCTAAGGAACCTTGTCAGGCAGTGAGAGTATTCCTTGGTGCATATTTGTTTGTCATAAATTAGATTTTATCAAAACACCTAATCATACAAGGTCATCAGGTGAACTAACTAACGAAAACAAGCGTTTATTACTTCATAATTTATCCTTATCGGTTCTTGGCTTATACAAATTGTTTGTTAGGTGGTATGACAATGAACCATTGACGACAGAAAGGCTAAAGGCTAAATTTCTTGCTGATATTGACTATGAAACGGTATACCATGACAGTTGTAAGCACAGTCATGAATGATCTGCTCCCAGACATGTATACAACTGTACATTCGCCAACCAGTATCCACCCTTATTACTTCTATTTTCACTTTACTTTTCAGAATACCAGTCTAAGTGTTATTTTGGGAAAGATGCATAAAAATATTTTCGGAGGATAAACAGTTTTTCAAAACATAATGTTAGACAATCGCTTTGATGATGCCTGTTAAGTTGTGGGAAAAAGTTATAGTTTGCGCATGTTGAGTTGCGTTTTTGTGTGCTTGAGGGAAAAGACACGATGTTAAAGTGTAACTAGGCATGTGAGGGTGGGCATCGACTCCGGAGGACCATTCTAACTTTATCGACGGTCTAAAGAAGAGTCTAATTTTACGCCTAAAACTTACACAGTGAGATAAAGGAACGAAATGGTAGTCAATAGCCACTTATGACATGAATGGGAGCCCTTTTTTATAAGTATTAAAATCATGAATTGAGTATCAAGAGTGTTTAAAATCAAGTTGTTTATACGACGTCATTGAAAAACATTGGTAAATTCGTTGTTTAGCTTAGCCATCAAAGCTGTTATTGATTTATCCAACATAGAAATACTCATACCACCAGCTTAAATGATAATATGGTAGTTTCATAATTCTTTATTGTAAATACAAAAGAGTAATGGCAGAAGAATAAAATCCTTTGTTACACCTTGAGTAATAATTTTAACGTTAGAAATATAAGCCTGTATACCAACTGACCGTTCCTAATCAAGTAGGTATGTTTTTATGACCAGTGATATACAAAGACTTTCATTTTGTAAATAGGATTGTATGTGACTAGTGGTGTAGAGTGTTTTCGTGACATCAAGAAATCCAGCCCACCAAAATGGCCGTTATCTATGGAAGACTTGAATGAGTCATTTAGGGCAAGTATGGCTCACTTCGAAGAGCTACTTTCATGAAAACCAAATAGATAAAATTTTAGATGCCTAAATTTGTTTTTTCGATTACGAATGCGTTTTACAAATCATTTGCAATAACTTTGATGATCGATGACAAAATAGAAATAGAGTAAAAGTTACGGACATCTGTTTCATCCCTATTTTGTGAACCTAAACTAAATTAGCCTTTTTATTGAACTAGGAGGCATGTGCCACATTCCAAAAAGCGTCAAGTATTTTGCTCATACTTCTGAAACACCTAGTGCAGCAAACTGCAGATGAAGCGCTGATATCTTGTCTAGCTCAGAGTTGCAGGTAATTATATTTATGCTTGTAGAATAAACGTCTTTTTTGGTAATACAAAAACGAAAAAAATAAACAGATGCAACAGGGCAGGGGGTATGAAGAAACATTGCAACTGTCATTGTATATTTCACACAAGTATTCAATAATGATGAAGATGTTTGGTGCTTTGTGGTGCAAAGGCCATGTGATGGCCAAAGAGCGCAAGTTCATGGGACAACAGACGTGGACAATGATTGTGATTAGCGGCTGTATAAAGGCCCTAAATTTCCTCGCGCTAAGGTGGGTAAAATATATAAGTAATAAAATCCTGACCATGTTGGAAAAATGTGTGGTGCTAATGAAGGACGACAGTTTGCGATAATTAAAAACATGGTGGACATGTAGTGCTTCTTCACAACTATCACACAACGGTGGGTCACCAGCATACAAAAGAAATGAATGTGTAGTGTATATGTCCTGTTCTTAACCTAGTAGGTATTACTTCTGTGCAGCGTGATTTTTATACTCGCGGCAATGGACAAGTTGTCGCTTGTTAACATGCAATTTATTACCTGTGTGCGTGTCCCATGTGCTCTGCCAATGACCCCTGAGCTTTCGTTTTGGAAAAGATTTCAAGTCGATTGCAGGAATTCGTATTGACATAGTGGTTTTGTTGGTGAATCTAGCTAGCTGGTCCACCAGAACTTTGCCTTGTATTTCGCGGTGCCCTGGCACCCAGCAGACTACAGCATGCTGCTTCAATGAGTAGACTGTGCATGAGAGCGAATAAAGTGAAACAAGAATAGGGATCTTTGGGCTTTTTAAGAGTATTAGAGCTTTTACTACGCTTAGCGAATCTGTATATATTATGGCCTTCTGTTGTTTTATTTGTTTAATATGTTTCACAGCCGCAAGCATCGCATAAGCTTCGCCGGTGAAAATGCTTGTATCAGAGTTCAGAATGCCGGCTTCCGAAAAGAATAAGCTGACGGCTGCGTTCAAGACAGAAGTGTTGGACTTAGAGCCATCCGTAAAGTATTCAGGACATGTGTATTTCTGTTGTAGTTTTAGGAAGTATGTCTCAAATGTTCAATTGGTGCGTACTTTGTAACCTCCAAGAAAGACATGTCGCAATCTATCGCCTGCCACTGTCATGGTGGCAGACATACTGCGGGAGCCATAAAACAGTGTTCAAGTGGCACACCAGTTTTCTTCGGTAGGCCCCTTACAAGGAGTGAGTAGGGCTGTCTCAGAGAAGGCCATTTATCAAACACAGCAAGATTTCACACGTCATCATTGTGGAATATGAACGTTGTTCCTTGTCTGCGTTTCCTTTAGGATGATATTTAAAACACATGTAATATCTCTGTAAGGGGAGCGATCATTCGTTCAATTCCACGTATGAGCTTTCTACGAGGCTAGCGCGAAAATCACCTGTATAGATGCGGATGCCAAGACGATGAACAGTGTGAAGCATATGAAGGGCAGTATGTGTCGCAGACTCATATGCTATTGCCCCATAGTTTAGACGAGTACGTATGGGGCTTGTATACAATTTGATCAGACACTTGATTTCACTTCCCCACGAAGTAAGGGACAACATTTTTAGAACGTTCATGGCTTTTGTGCACTTGTTTTTAGATACTTTATGTGTGGTATGAAGGTTAACCTGCCGTCCAAGATTAGGCCTGTGAATTTTTGTTTAGTGTTAACAGAAAGACGTTGCTTATGCAGTTGAGTATCGGGTTCGGAATAAATGCCTCTCTTTCTGGAGAACAAAACAAACTTTTCTCTGCATTCGAACAGAACCCGTTTTTTTCTGCCAAATTTGAGACTTTGTGCAAACCAAGCGGAACCTGCAACTCACAGACGGCCAGATTACAAGAGCCATAACCAAGCTGGAGGTTGTCGGTATATGTGCAGTTAAACATATTTTGAGGGATCCATAAGCTCAAAGAATTCATTTTGATAATAAAAAGTGTGAAGCTAAGTACACCGCCTTGAGGCACTCCTGTTTCATAGGCAAATGTTTGGGAAAGAACGCAGCCCACTCGGACACGGAATGTCCGATTTGACAAGAAACTATCGATTAAGGTAAGTACTCTGCCACGCAGGCCAAGGTGTCTTAATATTCCAAAGCGCCATGTTCTATCACAATCCTTTTCGATATTGAGGAACACAGGAAGGGAATATTGTTTGTGGACGAAAGCGTGTCTGATCTGTGCCTCAATACAAACAAGGTGGTCGGTGGTGCATCTGCCTTAACGAAACCCGAACTAAAATAGGCCGAGCAAATTGTTTGTTTGAAAAAAGTGTACAAGTCGGCAGTTTATAAGTTATCGAGAAGTTTGCATAGGGAGCTTGTAAGTGCAATAGACCTATTACTCGAAACTGAAGAAGGGTCCTTGCCCTCTTTCAAAATGGGAATAATAATAGCCTCTGTCCAGGAAGTAGGGATAGCGCCAGAAAACCAGGTAGCATTGTACAAGCAAAGTAAGGTTTCTGCATTTCGATTGGAAGGTTTTTCAACATAATATTGCGCACATGCACGAAGACAAAGAAGCGTATACGGTCAACTCACTTGTGGCCCAGAGCCAGAAAGGAAGAAGAAGATCAGGAGGATGGCTAACCAGTCGGCCGCTTCTGAGCTGCCCCTCAGGGCCCAATAAACGGCCCCTTTCAACCTCTACCAGTCTCTTTCAAACGTAACATTGTGGTGGAGGAGCTGCGTAAGCGCTTCAACTACGGAACGATCACTGCCACAGCTTCGACAAAGCCGTCGACTTGCCGGTCTCCCACCATCTGCCGTGAGTGACTTCGACATGAGCGAAGAAGCAGGCGTTTCCAGGACGGCACCGTCTGGTCCGCTTCCGTACTGCCGAGTTCCATCGCCCTTCGGAGTAAAAGCCGAAGAAGATGTCGACGCCTGGCTCACCAAGTACAAACGTGTGAGCAAGTCCAATGGTTGGAATGCAGCCACTATGCTAGCCAACGTAGTGTTCTCCCTGACCGACACCGCCCTGGTATGGTACGAGAACCACGAGGACGCACTCACGACGTGGGATCTTTCTGTTGAAGAGCTCAGGGCGTGTTTCGGCGACTCGGTTGCTAGAAAGAAGTGGGCTTAGCAAACGCTGTCGCAACGGGCACAGCTACCAAATGAGACATGCACCACTTACATAGAAGAAGTGTTAAGGCTGTGCAAGGTGGTCTGCGCTACCATGCCGGAAGAGGACAAAGTTGGGCATCTGCTCAAAGGAATTGCTGAGGACGCGTATAATTTTCTAATTGGAAAAGAAAGCCTCAGTTCTGTGTCCAACGTCATTCAGCATTGCCAAACGCTTGAAACGCTCAAGAAGCGTCGAATCGTGCCCAAGTTTGGTCGGCTGGCTAACGTTACAACTGTTGCCAGTGTGGACACGAATCCTGGCCTCAACCTTTTTTCTACCATTCGACAGATTATTCGTGAGGAACTGTCCCACCGAGAAATGTCGTG